AGACCGACTTCGTTGTTGTCCGAACCGTTATCAGTATTTGTGCGTTTCCTCACTTCTTCGAAAGTAAATGCCATGTGGATAACGGTACATATGTTTAAAAACGTGTCATCTCCTCAAAATTCACGATCTATCAACAATTTCCAGTTTAACGTGAAATATTGAATATGAACGTATATAATGTGATATTAAACTCTTTGGGGCCGAGGACGCAAATATGCGTTAACTCGAAATGGATTCCCTCCGCGCGGAGTAGACCTCGACCCTTCGCCGGCTTGAAATAGACTGAAACCGTGACCTTTTTGGTACATACGACATCAAGACCAAACGCAGCTCACCTGTCATCCATTTCTTCGCCGGAGTCGAGTGTGATGTATCCACGCAAGAATAGCCACAAAAAAAGCTAATTGAGAGATTGACTGGACGAACGAAGAGAAGGCGGCAATTATGTGTCATTTATAAAATGCATACAGCAACGCCACGTGAAAAACATCCGCCTTCATGGTGCGCAACACGTTCATTTTGTCGAAGACACGCGACCGCTAACTAAAAACGTGGATAAATTATTGACAACGCGCATATTGTCTTTTGCACAGTATTTTACTTCACAAATTCCTTGCAAGCTCATTTTCGTTACATTAACCTCTTTGAGAGCTGTTACAATCGCGCTATCACGCAAGGGCTACTGATTGTATTTCTGTTTTTGTGTGAGCCCCATTTTTTTCAGGGTGGGTATCTCAGGGAATTTGGCAATATTAGAGTTAGCTACAAACACGCCTTTCGAGTTTTATGTTTGCGAGCTTCCGTCAGGAATCCCCTCTTCGTAGGCTTCATGAATCATGTATGCGCCCTGCCAACCTGTTTTGGGGGTGACGTACTTAAAAGTTCGTGTTTGTGGCCAATTGAAGTTGGCCTCGTTTATTCCTCTTTTTTCATAGATACAACGTTCTTTATCACGTTTATGATCTAGTCGATGAGGCAACCCCAATGGAATTGGTGGGTGGGCAGTATGGAAATATGGGTGGGCACCATTGGAATTGTGGGTTGGCATTAATTGGAAAGATAGGTGGCACTAATTGAATGTCGGGTGTCCATTAGTAGGAAATGTCCGTGGGCGACAATTGATTTCATTTTAATTGTGGGTTGGCACTAAGTGGAAATGTGCTGCGTCGACTTTGTTTATCCTCTACCACCCACTTTACATGATTACTTTTGGAAAAACACGTTCATAAACACGTTTCTGTTTCCGTTTTCTCACGTTTCTTTTGTAATTGGAGATGGGCACCAAATGGAATTGTGGGTTGTAACGATTTAATATGAGATGTGGTCGGAGCTAATTCGATTGTATAGGCATTGGCTAGTTGTTCATATCTCACCGTTACATTCTGCATTTCTAAATTTTTAGTCCGCGTATCAGCGAGCATTTGTTTTCCATGGTCATACACACGTTCTTGTGCGTTTCACACATTGTGAATTGTGGGTGGCGCGTTAATGGAGAATGGTTGTGGGCGCCATATATACGACTTTTAGACAGCGGGCGCTAAGCGAATGCCACAGCGCGCGCTGGCGCGGTAGTGCTCAGGGCCAGGGCGCATGCGCAGCACATTGCGCCCGCTGGGCGCGCTTGAATGGGCGAAGATTGAAATTGGGATCAACCTAGCAGCCAGGTTTTCTTCGCGAAAGTTGTAAACAATGGCCAAGTTCACCAGCTGGCGACCGACTACGTCTCTCCCGTCTGCAGTCTCAGCTCTGGCAGTTAGTCCGACTGGTTGACCAAGTCACGTCACGGATGCTGCAATCTATCTTTCCCACTACCTCGTCTCTTGGATTTGCTTCTCTCCGTTGTGGCTTGTGATATCCACCTCATCTTCACTTCCCACCAACAGCAGCTTCAATCCTCACTCCGGGTAGGCATTTCATGTGCTCTACCCTTGTATGAGCTCGGCGGCGGCCTAACCTAGAGTCCCTGCGGCTTATTATAGCGAGCTAAGAACGCCAGTCTTCATTCTACGTTTTCTTCCACGTTCATATTTCTTATTCACACACTCAGGTTTGACAGCAATTGTACCATTTTGCGTCTAGCTGCGTCTGTTCGATGTGTGTCTGAGCATTGTACGTTCTTATTGGCTTTTGCTACTCCAAATTGTCTTCTTTTTCTTCTTTTTAACCTCCACGCTGACACGTCATTCAAACGCTTATTAAGTGGGCACCAATTGGAATTGGGGGTGGGCGTTAATTGGAAGTGTGGGTTGTTGCCAGACACATGGCACCCTGACGTAGCAAAACTTTGCCACCTACCCAATCAGAGCGTCCTCCACAACAGCGGCCGCTGCCGACGTGGCCGATCCTATAAGCGCAGCCCGTATCTCTCTCACAAGAGCGGCGTAGGTGAGTGGCTGCCCGTCTTCGTAGCGAAATCCCGCCGAGAGATGTAGCTGAGGAGAGCCTCCACCGGACAAAGCGTTCTCCCGAGACAAATGGTCACTCCCAGGCGGAATGGATCCGGCTTTTATGCACCTAGAATCGACGAGCACATCTTCTATCGACAGGTGCGCTCCCGGATCATACGCCGACGCAGACGGCTCCCCTGACCTCAGGACGTTAGTGTACGCAATATAACAAAAGGCAACGGACAGGAGAGCAGGCAATAAATGTTAGGCCTGTGGAGAACGGTTTCTTGCCGATGTCAGACCTTGAGACTTGTGGATGCCAGCTTGAGGGGCAGCTGCATGCGGCGAAGAGGAGTGATGGGTACTGTGCCGCCATGGAAAGTGGGGCCAGAGTAGCTGTCAGGTGGTCCACCAGTCCTGTAACAGATGGCGTGGACAGTTCCCATTGCTCCATTGACGAGGCCAGCATCAACCCAGAGGTTGCTGGTGAGCATAACACATGCTGACTTGGCAAGGCAGATGACTGCCTCCAGTACTCCTGCATCATCAGGCTGCATTGGGTCAAGTGTGAACTGCCGATGGGCTGACCACTGGCCTGGAGCTGAGCCACGTTGTACTCGACCACAGCTTCTACAGTGGGGATGAGGTGGAGGGCATGGAGAAGGTGAGAGAACTTGGGACTCTGGTGGGCGTTCGGGTCATGAGGTGGTTCCAGTCGGCCACTATGACCGTGGCATCTCTCAGTCAGTATCAGAACTTGACTTGTTCTTGCCTGACGTAGGTACACAGCCTGTTGGAAGGCCTGGTAGGCAGCTCTCCCCTGATCAGAGAGTTCTGAGCGAGAGTCAGTGGTGTAGGAGGAAGCTGGCCATAATCTCTCCAAAGACCTCCTGGGAATGGTGAGGGAAGGTGTGGCAAAGACATCTGTCCACCCACCATCGACATCTCATCGATGATGAGATACCTGACCTGTGATTGGTGAGTCTCTCTCCTTCCAGGTCCTTGAACTCTCCTCTGGTGGGGAGTGGAGGGTGTGGCCATCAATGTTGAAGGATTAGGTAGGACTTCCCTGTGCCAGATGTGCCAGAGACCATCATCCGGAGAGGCTGAGGACTTTTGGCTGAGTGCAAGGTTGTGACCCCCCTCTTTACAAGCAACGTGGCAGGGGACTATTGCGTAGTTTACCAGTTTGCGAAGGGTGTTGCAAATTTTAAAGGAGTTTTCTTGTATTCCTGAATCATCCTTCAGTATGGTGATGCGAAAAACTGTGCACCACCACCACACTTCACCGGCAGCCTCACTGTAGCGCCAGCTCGACAAAGGGGTCAATCACGCAGTTTCTACACCTTAATTACAAGTTTTCTTGCTATGAAGCAAACTGGAGGAAAGGAATAGATCATAACCAGAAGGAAACTGGCTGAAAACACTAAAGATAAGATGACTATAGAGAGGGTGAGTGAGTGCTGGGGTGGGAAAAATGAACGGGTATTGCAGCTGCAGCAGAAATACTGACAAAGACCACATGGCGGCTGATTGTGTCTGCTCATGGCCATCTGCTCCATCGTGATGTTAACCTCACTTAACCCTTTGGACGCCATGGGTATCTGCTTAAATAGGCAGAAATTGATGTACAAAGTATTAGCGCAAAGTATTATCGCCAAATTCTTATGAAGCTCTGGACGCATTTATGTGTCCGCGGCTGGTTAAGTGTTACTCCCTGATCAAATTCTACGGTTCATATTGCAACATGGATGCAGGCTAATATCCTCTTTTGTGTCATAATGGATCACCTCAATAAACAGCCATTGTTTTGAGAGCTACATTATGGCCACCTTGTAGTCTCGGTGTCACACATAAGGGGTGTTGAACAACCTGGCTCTGTTTAGGGACAATAGAGCTTATTTCCCTTTTGCAAAGAGGTTGATATTGTTGTGGGAAGACTGACCAATACCAATAGGGGGAACAGCATGGGGTTCCTGTTTACGGTAGACCCCTGACAAAAACCAGGTTAATTGATCATAATTAAGAAAGCGCCAGCAAAAACTGGCCTTAACCCCAGGGATTACGCTGGGCACTCAACCGCATTGGGGTGGCCACAACAGAAGGGGCCTGCGGCCTGAATGACTCAACGTTCAAGATGCTAGGCAGGTGGTCTATCTATTATACAGACTCCTAGAGAACAATTGGCCGGAGTATTAGGTCAGCTCACTCACTACACATAACACCTAGTCCCACGTACTGTTTTTATCCATGCTCTGTCATGTGTCATTGCGCTCATGTAGCAATATTGTTATGACGGTGAAGAATGGAGGGCTATCATGGTTTTGCAATAATTATTAGTTTCTGTTCTTTTCATGGGCTCGTGATGGGACGTTTGAGGATACCTCTCAGGCTCGTCATGATACGTACATAGCATCAACAAACTGTGGTAATACTTTCAGTGCCAGATACACAGCTATACACTCTGGTCCCCGAAAGTTCGACAGGAGCAAAAGATGGCTAATTGGATCACGAAGGCAATTGTACTGAATATACTCTTGGGTATAGCCGCAGACTCCAACTTTTTACCTCCATAAGCGGACCTACACTCATACTTCAGAGCCTGTGAGAGCTAAAAACTGTGATAGCTTTGTCCGTATGTTAGGATAGATGCTCCATCTGGGAATTAAAGATGTCCAAACTGGCAAAAGTAAAGCTCTATGAAAAGTATTTCATAGTGCATCCAATAAATACATCCGGCCTAACTTCCTGTTGATCTTCATCTGGTGTGGCTTGCGCTTATGCACATGTGCACAAATGAACACAGGCACGCGTTTATAGTGCTGAGGTTTGTGCTTTCCATATTGACAACAGACTAGTGTAAAGCCACAAATGTTCGCAGTACTTGCACTGATATGGTGGTAGTAAGACAGTGGTTAAGTTAGTGAAGCTATCTCTGTAAAGTCAATGGAATATCATACAGTTACCAAGCATTTACACAACCATAGTGTTCTCTTGTTTATAGTGCTGAGTGTTTGCAGTTTGTGCTTTCCATGTTGACAACAGACTAGCGCAAAGCCACAAATGTTCGCCAGTATTGGCACTGATATGGATGGTGGTAGTAAGACAGTGGTTAAGGTTAATGAAGTTATCTCTGTAAAGTCACGGGAATATCATACAGTTACGGAGCATTTACACAACCATAGTGTTCTCTTGTCAACAAACAACAGCACTTCACAGCATTTGTTGTTCATCATGTACCTAAACGGGAATAAACAGTAGTATAAATTGCACTGGCCACAAATTGACCCCAACAGGGCTGACTACATTCAAGAGCTTGTGCTTTTGTATGTAGTGAAAAAGGTTTAGCGCTCACGCTGGGCAGCTGGTGATGGTTGTCGTGATGGAAACCCGGGCACGTTGACTGGAGAGAATGCCACACTCGTACTGGGGTATTTATTAACAGTGCAGGCATGTACTGTGAGGTTACTGTACTTGGTTGTCTGTCAGACTTTTACTACATTCCATTTCAAATTTCGTCATGTGCTCATTGTTAGGGAATGCGAACAAGTGATAAACCCCCACCGAATTTTGCCTCTTTGCGTGCTTGACATAGGGCGAGTATCGAGTCTCATAACACTATACTGGTGTCCAAACTAGCGAGAGACTATAAAGTGGCCTTGTTGTCTATTGCAGTCAAGATGAACAAATACACTTTCAAATACGCACCGTTTCGACTTCGAAGTCTTTCTCAGTGTGATGATTTTACAAAGAATAGGTTGAGGTGCAATGCACCATGTAGATGGAATCCCAAGAACAAAGGGTCTAAAACCATAGGCAGAGAAAAACATAAATAAATTGAAAAGAAACTAAAGTGCAAACCCTCAGCGAACTGTGGTATTGATAATTGATGGGCTGGGCTATAAATTACTATGCGTGGTCTCTCGCTTGTAGCTCGCTGGGCTAGCAACTGTAGTACATAGCATGTGGAGTCGCACATACACACCTTTCGTTTCAACCCTGTGCTAATTTGCTTGTTCACACACCATAAATCACTCTTATTTTGTTGTCTTGTTGCGCGTAGTGACAGAAAACATGGTAACAGACAGACAGACACACACACAAACGGACCAAGTACAGCAACCCTCACTGCGCATGCGCGCCGAAGGTGCACTTAAGTGGAAACCCTTGGTGAACTGCCCATGCGTGGTACCACTAATTGATGGGCTGGGCTACTAGTATGTGTTTACTCGTCTCCCGCTATTAGCTGGTGGGGAGCCTCACACAGGCTGCTACAGCAGTAGATAGCATGCGGGAGTCGATACGCGCCCTTTATTGTGCCTTCAAGATACACAGAGCAAGCAGACCCGGTCGAGGTAAACTGGTGCTAATTTGAATATTGGCTTGTTCACCTTTCGCTGATTTCCTGCGCCTAGTGGCATAAAACGTGGCAACAGACAGACAGACTTGTTCCGTCACAAATAAGTTGTGTAGCACTTCGTTCCCTAGATCGATATCGTTACTGTGACATTCACATGCATGTCAACTCCTGCAGGACTTGGCTACGCTTGTCTCGTCCATAGTAGCTTCTGGCAACTGCCTTGATTCATACGTGATTTTTGTGGAGTAATTGAATGCTTTGAGATTGTAGACTTTAGGGGACGATTATATAATAAGGCATCTGGTTCCTGTAGCATAACAATGGCGGAGCTCTTCAGCAGTATTCTCCAGCCAAAAATGATCCCTGAACAGTATTTGATCATGTGAGGTAGAATTAAAGACAGCAGAGAGGGATTGGATTCGACCAATCTTGAATTTGCTCCTGAAAGAGATGGAATTTTCATTTTGATGGGCAGTCTTGAAAGACCATCACCATTGCTGTGCAAACGATAGCTCACCTCTGGAGTCTCGCAGCAAGTAATGGAGAGATAACCTTGTTAGAACTGAAACTTTCTGAGTGGTTTGTGGTTGGTGGATGAACTTTTTTCCATAGCGGTATTCATCACAATTCTTGACCTCAAGTAGCACCTCTTTTTTTAGCTGTACATAGTTCCTTTTGCTAGAAGTTAAGGTGTGCGACGCAATAAGTTGCTCAACATGCTCTCACTCACCAGGCGGAGGCATCTGTTGTCAAAGGACGTGAAGATGTGAGTTGGGGCTTTAAGGGCTTGGTGATCCGCCTTGGTTGAGGTATACAAAGAACACTCTCAAATATGAACACAGTTTGAATTCCTTCTTCATTTTCATGTCCTAAGAATATGACTACAGACCTCAACACCAATAACCATTCAAATCTCCAGATGCGATGGTTCATCACCACATACATAGCTGATAACACCTGGAATACCCTGAAAGACAGTGTTCACCAGCTTTAAGCAATGGTAAAAGTAGCGATACAAGACTTGGTGGGTATTGCTTTGCGGATTATTCGTCAAACTATACATACCATGCAGTAGTTAGTAGTAACAACCGGACGACTCCGTGGACTAGACTATATATATATATATATTTTTTATACACAACACTTTTTTAACAATCATGTTAATATTTTGCGCGTAATTATAATCATTCCGGCATGTTGGTCTGTTCACCGTTACAGTTTGTATATAAAAAAGAGGCATATAGGGATGGTGTAAGGGAGACAAGATAGGGATGGGATACATGGTTAATGAACAGATTAGAGCACGCTGACACCCCCGACCCAATCACACAATCCCTACATTGTTGCCTTGTGTGGCACTAGTTAACTCCATTTGGGCACTTGGTTACTCAGTAGCATGACTTTTCAAGCTACACATTGTTATGGTCACGGTGTTGATAACTCAGTAGCATGACTTTTTTCTCAAGCTTTAAGTCCTGACTAATGTAATGTTGAATGTTTAACCTAGGTAACAATACAGGGATTGTGTGATGGGGTTGGGGGTGTCAGCGTGCTCAAATCTGTTCATTAATCATGCTTCATGCATCTAGTCTCCCTTTTTTTTTTATACCATCCCTATATGCCGCATTTCTTAATTCGCAGGATATTTAATTTACTTGTCTCCACTCATTTTATAACATATATCTCTGTGAAGGGGGGCAAGCATATAAAAATTAATAAAATGGCTGTTGTTGTGATGGAATACGGTTGTGTACAAATTTTTATCTCCATGTGGCTGCCGTTAGCAACTTTGAAGAGTGAAGAAGTAAAGGCCTGAAGCTATTAACCCTCGGTGCGCATGCGCAGCGAGGGTTACTGTAGTTGGGTCTGTGTGTCTGTCTCTCTGTTACTCTTCATCTCACTTCTCGAGTGTTCATTCGTCTCACAAAGGATACCACCTACTGAACAGCAATGAAGGTTAGAAATTTCGAACGGTTTTCTCTGAAAACGCTCCGTTGCAAAACTAGAGCGCTTCCACCATTGTACGGCTAGTGCGTAGTCGGCCATTTTTATCGCTGCGGAAAATGCGCATGCGCTTATAGTTTGAACAGGCTTTAACCTCGACCGGGCATGTATCGACTCCCGCATGCTATCTACTACTGTAGCTATTCCGTGTCAGACTCTCCGCGAGCTACTAGCGTGGATACCACGAGTAAAAAGCCCAGCCCATCAATTACACCAAAGTTGGTTTGGTGTTCTCAGTCCAGGATTTGATGCTGATCCAGCATGCTTGGTAAAGCAGGTATATATCTCAGTTTCGGCAAACAGCAGGCTCCCCTCGTGAAGTGCAGAGCGACCACTGCTTGAAACTTGTAATAAGTAGAATATGCCTTGGAAATCTTCCTGTTGTCATAAAAGTTTAAATTAATCTCTGTATAGGAATATTGGCGGTACGATAAAAGCTGTCTCATGTTGTCATCTGTGACAGGTTTGGTCAGCAAAGGTGCAATGGTGTTTTTAGGCTGCCAATTTGACCAAAGCAGAAGGTGAGTTACAGCACTTCCTTTGCAGGCTCAGACTCCGAGACAATGGCAATGTCTAGGGCAGCAACGAAGCCATTTTACAGTGCACTGGCAACTTAACGAGCTTCATAGGGCAACCAGTCAAGACTTGCTTGCAAGACTACGCAAGCAGTTCCAGTGGTGTATGTTTCTCCGGCATGATGCTATAGGCCATCCATCAGTGTGTGACGTGCTTACATGTGTAGGTTATACGATGGTGGTGCGTGGTCTACTGGTTGTACACGAGTGGCCAGATTTGATAGGGCACGAGGGCGTAGCCCGAGTGGTCTATCAAAACTGAGGCCATGAGTGTGCAATCAGTAGACCACAAGCCAATGCCATCGTATAACGTGTTTGTATGATGACATCCGGCGGTAAGGCTCTGACCAATGAGATTGCGCAAAAGCTTTCAAAACACCCTCTTATTAGCACACACCATCGAGTGTACGGGGGACGGGGAGAGCAATCGATCGGAAGAGAGACAGCTGCAATAAGCGCTTTAGTTTAGTCAAGCTGGGCGGTTGTGCAGAAGCCATGGTCATTTCTCGAGAGTTCAACGTTACAGGTACGTCAAAGCTATACTTTTTGCTGCTAGACTTCACACGAGTTTTGTAGCTGCCGCTCTGGCTCGCTTTCTCTCCCGCTATACCCAGCACTCTCCTGTTGCAGTAGCAAGAAAGATGAAAGTCACCGAATACTGTTCCTGTCCACGGGAGCCTACGCGTCGGGAAGCAGCTTTCGCTAGTTTTCAGACCGCGTATATACCAGAGCAATTTCTGGCCATTCTAGCCTGAAAACACCCCCTTCTGATAAAGAAAGAGCAGTACACAAAGAGTGTAAAAGCCACCAATTGCATTCCACGCTGCCAATTTCCTACTATCGTCTAACTCCTGTAGACCCACTGTGGTTTATGCAAATGAGTTGACATACAGCTAAAGTATGGGGAAATTGTATGGCCTCTTTATGTTCTAACTACCTGTAGACTGAGCAGGAAGCGCTCACTAAGCATCTACGTTGTTTGGACTAGCTGGAATTCCTTTGATCTTACTCTCAGTCATCATACAAGATGTTGTACACTATTGTAGGCTGACAGGTTTAGCTACACTTTCCAGGACCAGATATTGATCGTACAACTGTCAGTGCGTGATGGAATGGTGGTCAGTATGTAAAGGACAGTAACATGGTCGCATGAGTCCAAATTAACGTTCATTTATCTCTTTGCAGGGCTTAACCACATAATAATACTACTGTAAATCCCTTTATTTTTGTGGTCCTATAATTTTCGCGACATTCGCGATTTCCTGGCGGTCGCTAAAATTTTGGAGTCTCAGCTACGATGCAAGCGTCCCAGAGGTACCTACACATACTACTCGCCTGAATCACGTGCTAAAATTGGAAAGTTCGCGGCCGAATCAAGGAAGCCATTGAGAAGTATTCTAAAGAGATGGTAAAGCCGGTGAATGAGAGTACTGTACAGGGTTTGAAGAAACGCTACTATGAAGCCTTGAAACAAAACAGAACGGGCGAGCCTGTCATGCAACTCGAGCATGGTCTTCATGGACGACCTCTCAAGCTGGGGGATCTAGATTCTAATGTTCAGGATTATATTAACTTTGCTTATCTGGTGGAGTGGTCAATAGAGCTATTGTTATCGCTGCCTCTCCTCATTGTTGTGTGAGCATGGAGGCACAATTCAATTGAGAAAGAAATGGGCAGATACTCTGTTATCGTGGATGAATGCAAGGCAAGGTTCTGACGGATTTCCCTGAGATCAAGCTTGCCCTTTTGAAGCGTATTTTTGATTGTGTTCAAGTGCATAAGATACCCCAGAGATTACTATCAACTGGGACCAGACAGGTGCTAAATATGTACCACTAGTGCGTTGACATTGGCAGAGGAAGGGTCAAGACAGATTCACGTTATTTGCAAGGAAGATAAGCGAGAAATGACTGTTCTTCTATCATGCACAATGTATGGCTTTCTGCTCCCTCCATACTTCATCTAGTGTGCTATAACAAATACCAATATTACATTTCCACCTGGATGGGACATTCATCGTTCAGAGAACCACTGGAGTACAGAAGCTACCACGCTACACTTTCATTGACTGTGTTCTTGTCCCCAATGTGCAGTCCATCAAGCAAACATTGGGCTTGGATAAGGATTACTTCTCTCTTGCACCTTTTGACGTCTCTGCTGCACACAGGCGTGAAAGTGTTCTTTAAAAACCTGGAAAAACATACTGCTTTATACCACCTAATTGCACGGGAGAGCTTCAGCCACTGGATCTTACAGTCACTAAAAGCATGTTTTATCATGTGGTATGCTGGACTGGTCAAGGACCAGTTGAGAGATGGAGTGCAGCTGGAAAATATTAAGCTAGATCTCCGCATAGCAGTCCTGAAGCCACTTCATGCAAACTGGCTTATTGCACTTATTTCTAGTGATGTGATCATTGAAGGATTTGTAAAGCCGCAATTAAGGATTCTGTAGTCTGTTCACTGCAAAGTCACTTTTGCATCACTGGTTCTGTAGTACTACTGTCCTCATGCTGTCATCACCAAAATTGCTAAAATAAAAGTGGTTCACATTGCTAAAATAAAGGGGGGTGAAAATAAAGCGATTTACAGTATGCAACTAGCATCCGTTGTGGCAACTGCAGTAACATTCTCTTTTGCTATAGTCCTACAACAGAAGAAATGACCAATGACCACAGAGAAATACCTAGGATGTCATAATAAGTAATTTCTGGCACTGCACATGACATGGCTGGACACTTTAAAATACCTGTGCAAGAACCACACAATGGCTCACCTTGCTGTACTTTCAATCATATCTTGCTTATTCACTTGAAGTATCTGTTGCCGATGAAAATACTGCATTTCAGGTGTTATATGCTGAAGAAACATCAAAGAGCCTCTTGACCCAGGAGAAATTGGGCTGTCTAACTGGATGAAAAAAACATGGGATTAGAAACATAGCTTTTAGACGAAGTTAATTATGAAAAGCACTAAAGTGAAACCCTCGGTGAACTGTGCATGCGCGGTACTGCTAATTGATGGGCTGGGCTATTAGTAGTAAGTGTTTACTTGTGGTCTCCCACTAGTAGCTCGCAGAGAGTCTGACACGTGCTAGCTACAGTAGTAGATAGCATGCGGGAGTCGATACACGTCCTTCGTTGTGACTTCTTTTGCCTTCAAGATACACAGAGGAAGCAGACTCGGTCGAGGTAAGCCTGTGCTAATTAGCAATTGGCTTGTTCATTTGGTTTTCACACCATAACTTTTGAATGCAGTATTTCTACGAATATCGCCATTAAATCAAGCAAATGTAGCGCCGAACCTATTCGCGTAGACTTTTGGCGATCTTGTTGCACCTAGTGGCAGAAAATGGGAACGGACACACAGAAACACCGACCAAGTACTCTAACCCTCGCTGCGCATGCGCAGCGAGGGTTAGTAATGACACGCGGGTCGGTGGGAAGGGCCCCGACAGTACAGTATATATTGTAGCCACATCGCATGCGCTGGTAGTCTCAGGCCACGTGTAGCGACAAAGAATCGATTGACCAGGACAGCACAGGTACAACTTTCCGTGGTATGCACTTCTCCCTCTTTCTCTAACACTCTGTTGCGTAAGCTTGCCTGTGTAACGTGATCGGCAATGGGCTGGGATCAGGGGTTTCCCCCCTCTCCATAAACCCCCTTCCTTTCCTGCACCACCACAGCAAGGAATGCTAATTAGGGGGTGGAGCTTCTAGCCCAGCACCTCTGCCCAACTACACCAGCACAATGCTGGTGGTATTTCCTCATCTCTATGGGGAGTAAGTTAATGTGGGTGTACAGTGCTTTGCACATTGATATCTATGGTGAATAACCAACCACTTTGGCTGCTGCCTTTCTCACCTTTAGACCCCCCAGGGCGGTTATTTGAGGTACCTCAAAAATGGGTGTTCTCCAGGATGCTCAACTACCTGAATTTGGCAGAGGTCTCTACGCAGCTGACGATGTTCCAACAGGCTGCAAAGGGCAAAGAAGAGCCCATTGTAGAAAATAATGGTGTCCAGGAGAGTCTGTGGAGTATATTCCCAGAGAGTGCTTCCTTCCTCCTCTGAACTCTGCCTGCTTTTTCGACACCCAATTTCATCAGCCTGTTGCCTCTTCATTTCAACGTCTAGTGATGCCCTGAAGCTATAAACTGTAGGTGGCAAAAGAAATCCACTTGGGGATTCCCAGACTGACGTACATACCTCATCAGGCCACACACAATATGGTGTAACTGTTAGGTTGATATACTTTACCTGTTTTCTTTTTCGCCTCAAGAATGAACATGGTTAGCCAGTGTGCAAGCTCTTCCAGTGGCAACTGATCTGAACTACCTATCTCAGTGCCTGTGATATGACGACGATGCTCCCTCCATTCGTTCCAGATATTTGTGCAGTACTTTGTGTCCTGCTGTGTCTTCTTTTCTCCCTAGCAATGAGAACCTCGGCTGCACTTTGCGGAGGAGCAAAGTGTGTCTATGTGTGGTCGATGGCTGCAGGGTGGTGTCGGTGGGAGGAGCTGGAGGAAGGCTCCCCTGCACATGTGCACGCTTGTCGGTGGGAAGGGCTGGAGCTAGAGGAGGGGCGTAGCTGGTCAAAACATCGCCTTTTGGTTGCTATGGACGTGCAGAGCCCGCTCTGAATAAGTTACAGGCTCGTCCAATGAAATGTAAGCAAATTAGAAGGCCTCAGGCCGTCCTCGCTACGCTCGGACTCTACAGCCCAGGGCCCTATCGCGTATCGCGTAGATTTCATGGACTTGCTGTCGAACTATTATGTAGTAATGATAGAAGTAATGATAGTGTTTGAGCCTAGAGTGAAGTGGCAGCTTGTGAACGGACCACGGCAGTACATCATGGCTATATTCACAACGACGGAGCATAGACTACCACAATTTCAGTAAATAACGATGGTTAGAGGCAACCATAAACTTGTACTCTAGATCCTATTACTACTCTAGTTAAGGGATACCGCAATGTTGCCATACCCTGACGCTTTGGTAAGTAAAACTTACCTCAGCAATTGTCATCAATTTGGCTTCATTAACATCCTCTTCACTGAATTCTCCACAGAAACACCATTGTATGCACTTATCAAATAGGTGTAAAGTAGTGTCTGCGTTAGGGTCCCTAGAAAAAAAGAAGTGATTGTGCAGTTTAACATATCGCATGTACGTATGCCCACATAACCATGCGAAAAGTTTGGTAAAAACCACTGTTAAGGTGGCAGCAGAAATATAAAGCTGGGGGATATTACATCGCCAGTTATACCAGCAACACAGAGTAAATTAGTGTGTAATTGCAGACAAAGTCGGAAGATTTGCAACTACAAGAGGTACTCAATACATTTAAGACTCTTGTACTTAGAGGACTACTGGGTATCTCGTGTCGTGTGCTATGCCTAAAATTAACCTTTGCGAAGGCTCACCTTTGCCACATGTGAACAAGAAATGAGGCAAAAAGAAGTGAGAGGGTTGAACTCGACTACGATATAGGGATTCCTGGACAGGAAGTGTCTTAGAGACGCAGACAGTCATCCTGGAGAGAAGAAGTTAGTTGCAGCAGTTCTTTCTAAGTACACCGAAAGTACGAACTCCTGTGAAAGCATCCATGTAGAGTCAGAAATATTTTGTGATTTGGCAATAATGTGTGTTTATGTTTGGCCAATGTGAGTGTATGTTAGGAGGCTATGTTGCCAAATTCACCTCTGTTCACATAGCTTACAAGTGTTAGTGAATGTGCACCGTGTGGTAGCAGGTAGTGAGACGCAAAACCGCTGCCACAGCTGAAAGCATTCAAAACATGTTGCATACAACGTTGACATGCAACGTTAAAGTGATCATGTGGAGTGGGATTGATGTGCCCCTCAATAACCCTCCGTGTGCAGGAGCAGCGAGGGTTACTGTAGTTTTCGCCTTTTCTGTCTGTCTGTCCGTTACCCGAATCGCTTCAGAAACAACACCACGCATTCAGCGTCGGAAAAATCTCTAAAACTGCTGCGTTCGACAGTTACGGCGTGAAACATGATCGAAAAAGCCAATATGCAAATAACTACTGGCTTACCACGAGCACATTTCGCCTGTTCGCATACCGTGGAAGCAATAGAAGTTACCACAGACGGCGACTTTCGCTATGCCTAAAACGCTATCTAACCCATGTCAGACAAAGAGAGTTAGCTAGAGACCACGACACGAGTAAAAGATGACAGCGTAGCCCTGCCCATTAATTAGTGGTACTGACCGGTGCATGCGCAATGCGGGCACTCAACTGTGTTACATATATCTTTTGGCGCTTGCGCATGCGCAAAGCGGAAATGGTACAAAGGTCACGCTACCAGCACGACATGTCTTCCGATGGTCCAGGGCAAAGCAAATTGTTGCTCAGCTGCTTTCCAAGATTGAGGACCCCTTCAGACTCTATTTCCCTCACACCTGAAGGAAAGTGACGTTTCTAGCGGCGATAATACAACAAGTGAAGTCGCTGTCGTGGAGGACCGTTAAGATAACAGATTTGTGTTTGAACCCATGCAGCCCAGAAATATTTCGTGTAAGTTCGGTATTCAATCCAAGTGGATTGGTTTGATAAGGAAATGGTTTGATTGGGATGACAAGAAAAACCCCGTGTATTGCCATCCGTGCTGTTTGGCAGTCAGGCTAAATTTTAATCTGTCAAAAAAGGCTGAGCCTGCATTTTCCAAAGTGGGCTTATGGAACTGGAAGGACGCAGTTAGAAAGAGTGAAGCCTCACACAGTCAGAGAGAAGGAAGCTTGAAATGGCTGAATTATTCAAGATCGCAGTCTCAGTATTCAAGTTCGCAGCGATCAAGCCGTAGCTAATGAGTGGTTGTTTAAGAATTTGTCATTTTTAGCACATCAAGCAATATGTGGTCATGACGAGACTCAAGGCAATTTTATTAAACTTTGCAGCTTCGTAGCACTGACTCTCCTGACCTCTGTAGGTGGTTAAAACTTGGCTATCACATGATATCTACAATGATATTTTGGAAATAATGGCCTATTCTGTGCTTAGGAAAATTTTAGATTTTGTTAAAGTCGATACGTATTACTCAATCGTTGTTGATGAAGTAAGCTTTAAGGAACAGGTATCTATATGTCTCAGGTACTTATCAGATGGTACTAATGAAACACATGAAGATTGTGTCCGTATGTACCAAACTGGAAGTACTACTGCTGAAACACTGACAGGGTTGATATGCAGGTTGGTCTTCATCTATGAAGTTTAACGCAGTTAAACGTAGTTAAGGGCAGGAACCGGCTGTATATCCTCGGGCCGGCCCCCGCGCCGCACAGGAGGCGCGCGCGCTCAGGCGCACGGGCCGGCCGACTTGCGCATGCACGGATGTTGCCTAGCATTTGGCGCGCGCGGGAGGACTCGTTCAGCGAGTATTTTGCATTCGTTGTGCAGACGGCATCAGTGTCCTATCTCGGCAACGCAAAAATTTGGATTGCTCTATCTCAGCAGCGCAAATTTAGCCCACCGCCGTCCCGAATATGTCCTTGGATCTTGGTGCTATAGATCTTTTTCCATCCGTCCGATGTGAGTTCCCGGTGCGTCGTCGCTATGGTGGGGGACTTTTGCCGCACCCCTCACGGAATGCGGCAGGGGGAGGGGCTTGGCAATAGCTCCTCCCCCAAACCACGATATGCGCATGCGTGCACGCGGGAGGTACGAATCACGTGATCGCATGGCCCCTGCATCTGCTAACCAAAGGCCGCCAACAGCGTACCACGCGCAATGGTACGGCGGGCACACGCGCGCGATATCGAATCGCAGCCGATCACGTGAGTATACCCTGCCGCACGTACCTCGCACGCAGACCGGGATCCTGCCAAGGTAAGAAATGGTATCATCACAACGGTAAGCAACAATAATCTGGTGCATAGAGTTAACCGTAATTGTCGTGGACAGGCTTACTAATACGAGTGGACGTTTATCAGGTGTAAAGGCGAGAATTAGTGGTCAATATCCAAAATCTATCTACATTCACTGTTTTTGTCACTCACTTAACTTTGCTGTGTAAGACTCTTCTCGTCTCATACAGATAATTAGACACACACTTGATGTCACTCATGAGCTGTTGACATTTCCCCCCAAAACGCCAGGCCCTTCTTGAAAGAATGCAGCATCATTTTTGGAAATGAATCAAACACATCACTAAGGCCATTATGCCCAACAAGATGGACTCTTAAGCACAAAGTCTGTCCTGGGGAATTACGAGCCTCTGTTAGAGATATTAGACCATAATTGAAATGGGTCCGATGGAAGTAGTTGCCTAGAGATAAGGTCTAAAGCAGGAGGTATTTATCGGAACTTGCAAACCTTTCACTATCTTTGGAATATGCTAACTTTGGTGTCACTGAGTCACTAAGTAGTAGCCCGCAAGGAAAGAATGTAACAGCCTTTGATGAAAAGAAAGATAATGAAATTGTCCAAAAAAATTAAGATGTGATTGCAAAGGAATTTTGGTTCATTTTGATGAGCTTGCGTACCAAAAGGATATTGTTGAGACGTTTCAGTTCGTAGACTTTCTTCAGTGAACTGAACAACTAAGATTTAGAGAAGGAAGCTATAGCTAAGGGCTGTGGCCAGAAAGGAACAACAGTTTACTTGCTGACAGCCCGAGTTGATGTTTCTGAGGTTGAGGTTTATTGTGTGGTTGGCTCCCAGATGTCACTCAGGTTGAGACCACAGTCCAGGTTAATAGTCAGTCTCTCTTGGCGGATCATAACCGCTTCCAGTACTCTTCTTTCACACACTCTGGACGAAAGCATTTTCACACTCTCTGACTCCCAATCAATAACATGATTAGTTGACCACACACGGACAGATATACTGTTGTTCTTATCCTGACCATTGATGGCATATTCGTGGACTTATATAAACTTACTCACAGTCTTTGCATGGAATACAATTGACGACTCCTCTATTGCGGTAACTGGTGTTTTAACATGCACTAGAGACTGGCGTAGTGTATTGGATGACTTAAATACTGTATGAATGCTAGGATCAATAGAGTGGCACAGGTGTTCGATTTTCTCAGCTACATCACGAGCATATGGAAGATACACAATCTTTTTCTCCTGTTTTTTCTCCAATGTGTGTATCACATCTCCTTTATGATAGTAAGTCCACTAGATATTCCTTAGCCACAAATACTTCCTCCATTTCCCGACATCTTCTTGATAGGTGACAAGTTTTCTCCGCTCTCTGTCTGAGGCGTTTTATAACACCAGCTAGTATCCTCCGATGATGGTGAGAGTTAAAATTGATGTAGCGATTGGTATGTGTCTCCTTCCTGTTGACTGATGTATAGAGCTTGGACTGTGATCTCTCGACCAGTACATCAAGAAATGTAATTCTCCCATCCTTCTCTTCCTCCAAATACAATTTAATGTTCCTGTGTTGATTATTAAGATGACTTAAGAAAGACTGTAGAGAACTTTATTTGTGGTTCTATATCATGAATACATCATCAACGCAGCGAAGCTGCACCTTAGGTCTTTTCTATTGTCTCTAGTGCAAAGTCTTCAAAGGCTTCCATAAACATATTGGGTACTATATTTTCTCTAGTGCAAGGTCTTCAAAGGCTTCCATAAACATATTGAGTTCTATTGGGGACAAGGGTGAGCCCATTGCAGCCCCATCTAGTTGTTCATAAAAATAGTCCCGGCTCTGGAAATAGTTGGAATGTAGGCAAATCACAAAGCTTGCTTAGTTCTTTCATCTAGTGTTTGGTCTGCCATCAGGGCCGTAGATATGCTTCATCTATAGGTATCTTCGTGAACAAGCTCACAACCTTGCCATGTAATCATGCTTGTCAAGGCTAACCTGTTCAATCTTCTTGACAAAGTCAGCTGAATTCTTGATGAAAGATTGCGTTTGGCCTGAGAGTGGGGAAATAATCCTTGCTAGTTCTCTTGCCAATAAATATGTGGGGGATCCGATAGTTAATGGGACATGCTCCTTATGAACCTTAGGGAGGCCATAGACTTGTGGTGAAGTTGAATATTGCAGAGTTAGAAGTTCACTCTCCTTTTCAGCACGCTTAGATGTAGGTGGACTTAGCCGTTTGCGGTTTTTAGAAGGGGTAACTTCAACTTCATCTTCATCACATATTCCATCACACCACAAATATCTGTCTTTCTGCTCTGCTGGAATGCATTACTAGCCACTTCTTAGTCGACTGAGGCTCGGGGACTGCTAACAAAATAACCAACAGAAAAGTTCAGTGTTGAGAGGCACGTGTTTCGGACACTCTTCCCCAAGTGAGTTTAGAGGCTCCAATTCAACAACATATGCATTTTCCAGTGGATGTCCGCAGATCACGTACCACATGCTCTTCTTTTAGCCACGCGTTGATAATCCACATGATAGACGAAAACCTGACGGGT